GTATTGTTAATACTCGTATATAAAAAAGGAAGCCAAAAAAAATTGGGATTGTGCATCACACATATAGTAAATGTATGTGATATATGCAGTGAAGGTTTATTGTTAACTAGCGATAAAAACACATCTAATTACACTTCGTTTCTAGATTCAAACATTTTATTTAAATATGTAGTTTCGCGACTAAATTTGCGATAGTAATATGTATATTGAATATAGGCTCAGTAAAGAGTACCCTTAACCGACGAGCATGTATGTAGAGATGCTATGCGTTTGCGAAGACATAGATGTTGAAAAATGCGGGTGAGGTGTGTCATTATCGTGGAAAATTTAAATCCGTAGTCTCTACTTACCCTTCTAGGTGACAGGTTTGAAGTTTATAGTACGTTTTATGTAGATTGCTTAAATTAGCGCGAGCTTTAAACTTACAAAGTTAATTTTCTTTCAGGTTTCGCACCAACTGTGCCTCGCGTAAGCGGTATTTCGGAATGTTCTGGACTTTATGTTTTTACCCATTTTTTTTAAATTTATTGTTGATTTTTATACGGTAGAGTACTGTAGTTATATTAGTAGTATAGTTGTCTCCCGTATTCGATCGGGGAAGGACGACGCTCTCACTGAATATCAGCGTAAAATAGTAGCTTAACGCTGCTGGGTTTCGTATGGTGAGTGTAGAGAATCAGAGACCTTTTGTACTGGAAACGAGGCATTCCATCATAGTCCTCACGGGTGACAACGCATCTGCATTTTGATTCGTAATCGAGGATAGGTGTCTATGGGCCACAGCAACGACTTATCATCAGGTTGACTGTGTGCTCCTTAATCACCTCATCCTATAAAAAATATGTATAATACCTTAAACATACGCAAATAATTTTATCCTTCTTTACATTATTCTTTCAATATAACGTCAAAAGTGTAATGAAAGAAACTGTACTTTCTCTCGCAAATTTTTAATAATTTTCAAGGAGGTTTTAGTTGAAAATTTTTAAGCTTTTAAAAAAACGGATGGACATTTAAAACCTTTATGTTCAGTGGTTATTTTTGACAAAAAGGATCAGTAACTAATGAATGCGTTTATCTTAATAATGGCGTCTTGTCTGTGTTCAAATTTTTTGCTTTAAAGATGAGTCAATACCAAAAAGGTAGTGCTTGTGTTTTGCTGTCCAACCTGATATGCGTTTAACCCGAGCTTATTCTTACAATGAAACTGTGCAGTATAATAATATTATGAAATTTATTTACAAAGATTTGAATATCTAAGTGTTTAACAAGTTTATATGTCCGGTCGTGGTTGTTGGCTTTAAAAACCCTAGCTTCATGGTGTTTAAATCTGTTTTAACTAATTGTCCCCGTTTCTTATTATAAAACGGTAATTAAAGCTATAAAGTTAATTAAGTTCGTATTTATTGTACTTTATAATTATCACCGTAGTAATAACGTATAAGGTATTATTGCAAATTCAATATATATATATTAACACGGTCAGTTCAACTGTTAATATTTTTTAAAATATTGAATATTCGATATATTGATAATTATAAATATATCAATATCGGAGTTTCATATATAAGTTTGTTTTTCGATATATTGAAAATTCAATATTTAAAAAAAATATTAACAGTTTTAGTTTGAATTGATCAGTTGGAATGGTCAGTTGAACTGACCTGGAATGGTCAGTTGAACTGACCGTGTGTGGCGACCATAAGATGGTAGAAGTTCTTTTCCAACTTGGAGTCCGTTTGGGTAGGAATCATCCTTTTAACCAGTTCTACCGTCAAATATCACAGCGTGAACTGCTGTGTTGTTCTGTACTCAAGGATATAGTCAGTCAGTACAATTGCAGGCTGTAAGCATTCATTACATCTTAGTCATCAGAAGTAACACCGCATCTGTAATTTCTTAATTAGAAGTTGACAGCAGGTACTCGTGGATGTCACATGATTGTGGACTGTAAGTTTGTTTATGTTATATTTACAAATTAAAAGTTTTCATATTTTTCATATTACTTCAGTCAGTCAGTCATCGAGCAACATTCACGTTACCTCTGACAATCTTTCAACAATACCCACAATAATTAATCACATTCGGAGCGCTTGTGATTGGGGTGGGCGCACACGTAATTCACGGGGGTTAATTTCTTACACGTCAAACATACGCCTTTTACTTAACAACATATTTGAGGTGTAAAACACCTATAATATTTATTGTTAAGGAGATTAAGCATTATTAATGTAGGAGGGGATCTCCTCGTACAAACTTTTTCGACGTTTTAACGATCATTCGAGTTCGAGTTCATTCCCAAAGTTCGTGCAGACTAAAGGTAAAGTAAAAGGGCTATGCTTTATTGCAAACCAACGAGCATTACGAAAACTTCATAAGATTTAAATCGACATAATTTTTGCTCGATGTTTGAAACGAATATATAATACTGTCTTACGTGTCGCCAGTGCGTCAAGCAGATTAGTTAAGTAGATTCCGATCCGGATGAAAACAACGCACAAACACAAGTGTTCTTTTAATTTAAAGTTACATATAAGCCACATTGCTTTAAAAGAGTTAAATCATAGAGCGTAAATAAGCGCATGGACGCAAGTTTAAGCATGTTTGGATGATAGATCGAGTATGTATTTTCGTGGATATCCGTCATGAGAAAAGAAAAAAAAAAAAAATGATTCATCATATCAGTACTTAATAGTTTGTTGGTTATTGTTATAATTTTATTTAAATATAGCATTAAGTTTTAAAAATCTTAAACAATTATTTATCTATTATAATATAAGAGTATCTACTACCCCATAGTGTAACAACTATGGAAAATATCCCTCTTCTCTTATGAGGCAACTTGTAAAGGACCTTTGTTCAGCAGTGTGCTGTTGATAGGCTGTAATTAAAGATTAAATTACATTTAATGACAATGAATTTTTGTGCATAACTGTCCCATAAATTTGAAAATCGTGGACGTGTGTAATTTTCCTTTATTTTATTACACGTAAAAGCCATTCATTTTAACTATTTTGCGGTTGAGATTGTGCACTGTCATTACCATTTCTATTAGAACTGTCGAATCGATTATAAATGATTCAAGGAGTTGACTCACCGAGATGTCCTTTGTGTAGACTGGATTGACCACTTTGAATGAAATTCAATCAATTTGCGGTTGTCGTTCACATCTTTATTGCAGAGGTCTTTAAAAACTACTGGCATGTTCGTTTCCGAAATCGCAATTAATATCATTGTATTAAAATTGCAATTAAAATCTAAATAAAGTATTTATGTAGTTGTTTACTTAAGGCGAAACAATACCAACAGAATGAATGTTCTAAAGTTCATATCCTTTGCATCCGCTCTAATGAACCGTTAGGAAAGCAGGTAAACAGTCTGCCATGTTGCATGCTGACTCACAGATGTCTTTTTGTACCAATGCCAACACTGAAACATTTCATTTTCATCCTTTGATACGAAAGTCTTTCTTCTAATTAATGGCGTAAGGTATGGTTTCCTTTGGAAGTTCGTGATCTAACATGAAATCATAATTCGGTCCGACGTAATCGTCCCGCTGTTTGAATAAATCAGCACCCGGTGTCGCAACACTGGAGCGAGACAAGCGCCCGTTGTTTGCAAAATAGAATATGCAATGTTACGTGCAACGCGTTTTTGTCTATTGTTTATTTTTATGACGTGCTAGTGATTTTGCTTCGTTTCGTTCAACCACTTGTCGATTCATATAATATATTTTCTAAGCATTCCCTGTCTGATGCGTCTGGATTGCACATATTGTATGTTAATTGTATGTAAATTTTATTGGCGTATTTATCTTTATTGGTGATAGCCGCGGTTCCTGTCGTAACTTGCATCCTATGCTGCAATAAAATCAGTCACACTTGAATTGTATTATACCTATACCAGTTTATTTCCTTTAAGAAAGCTAGTTTTTGTTTTTCAATTAACAAAACAATTCCAATCATGTTATCCTCAAGTGTAATTAGACTTTGCTGTAAAAAAAAAGTGATTTAAAAGATAAAAATGTGATTACAATACTTTTGACGTGAAAAAACGACGCAGTTTCTGAACACAGTGCTGACTCGACCTTGTCCCGAGCAAACAACGTTAATTCAAGTATGTTGATACGTGTTTTTTTTGAACGTCGATGGATATCCATTTTATTACACTGCATCGCTAAGTAATCTTGAGTTCTCAAGGTTTAGGTGTATCGTTACGTTCTCCATTTCTAATACAGATATCAGTGTCATGTAATATCAGATCTACAATAAAATTGTAAGAAATTCGTTTTGATTCTTCACTTGGTATCTTTTATAAACTATGTTTTTCAATTTTTCGGTTAACCATTGCTATTTCCTACTTGTATACTTATATGTAATGTAATAATATGATATGATATTATAGCTACTCATATTAAGTAAAAAAGTAAAGCTACAGCCTATATACGTCTAAGGCCTCCCCTCTCAGAAAGTAAGCTCCCTTTCAACTTCACATTTTCGATTTTTTCACTCAGACATGTCTCAGTCCTCACATTTCCTTCACCGCAACACGTGGTAATACAAAAATTTCATGAACCAGTTTGCTCGGGAAAACCGAGCGCTAACCATCTAGCTATACTATTTCCCTATACTACCTATATTAGCCTAGAAAAAGCAAAAGAACGTTTCATGAAAGATTTGTATTAACTTAAAGGATATTATTGTTATTGTACAAGAAAGCCAAGGTTACAAATAAAGTTATGTTGTTATTTCTTTATTACATGGTGTATACATGTGTAAAGTAAATAATGACTCGTACGTCTGTTAAGTTAAAGTGCGATCGTGCACCGTGCCAGTTTTCTGGCACGTCTTTTGCGGATCGGTTGTGATGCTAATGTTATAATTATAATATTGTTTAAAAATAAACCTCGCATTATTAAGTAATCGTCTTGTATTTTCCTTATTTTAGAGCACTTGCTTTATAGCCAATTTACATACGGAAATGTGTTTAGCAAATCTCCTATGTGTGTGCTCCTATTAATGGATAACCAGGATCTATTTTTACCCGTAAGTAATTCAGTTGAATTCTTCTTCAACTTAAGCTACTATTGCAAAGGTTCACAATAATATTTTAACGTTTTTATTCATGTCTGCTGAGGGTTTATATAATTTTAAATGTAACCTTGTCATATTACATACCATTATGTGAATTCAACTTCAGTGTCCTTAACATTTTGTTAATGATAACTGGTTTTTTAAACACTTGTTTTATTTATATCAGCAGACTTGTCAAATCTGCTTTCTGAACATATTATAGTGTATTTAATATTAGCAAAGAATATTTATTACCAGTTATTAAGTACGACTATACCTACTCGTATCCGATTTTATGCTTCTGTGATATCTGCACACAAAAAATAGAAGTATAAAATACATATATATTTTGTTTGTGCTACAAAATTGAAATATTTTGCATGTTGCGCAATAACTCGTTAATTAGCAGTATTTTTATTTTTGTGAATTGCCAGTTTTTAATAAATGTTTTTGATTTTAGTCTAAAAGATGTTTCTATTTAGTTTCTCGAAGCTGTTAAAACTTGCATCAGAGACATTCCTCCACACCGGAATGCACAGTATAGTTTTGGAAACTTGCATTTAACGGAGATCGATCGAACGTGGCTGAACTATAAATAATCAACATGTCTTGACCCACTAAGAAAGTTTCCGAGATCGTATTTATAGCGTGAAAAACTCTAGCAAAGTCGTCCAGAGAGTCGAAGATCTTTGTAAAATAAATCTGACAATAGCTGTAGTGTAATAAGTGATGCAAAGATGCATTTCCCTCGGCGCCGGGTTCTTAGTATCCGTTCACCTATAAAGCTCCACTGCTGAACATAAGCCTCCCCCAAAGATTGTCTCATAGGAATCGTCATCCTGCAGTTTTTTTACTTATTTAGAGTTGTTATCAGGAAGATGATGCTGCCCATCACCTGTTTCAATTTCCCTCGGTCGCCTCTTTCGACACTAACAAAATTTGCAAATAAGTTAGTGGCGCATTTCCTTTAGCACATTGTGTTATAATAAAATCTATAAAGAAATATATCAATGACAAGCTTTTCATTGCTTATGACTTTGATTTGCGCAGCAAAACTTTTTAAAAAAGTTTTTATTTCACAATCCTTGACGAACATTCATAGTAAACTATGCAAACAAAGATGATTATTTTCTGTTCAAATGAGGTTTTATATTAAATATTTTCTCTTTAATTATTTTAAAGTAGTGGTAAAAGTAAAAGGGTTACTTTCAAGATTAGTACGATACGTCACGAGGGATAAGATGATCGATGACCAAAAAATAACGGACTATAGAGAAAATAACGACTTTACTCATTTAAAAAAAATCAGTTTATTTAGCATAGCGTAATGGTAGACGGGCCTAAGACAAGTTTTTTTCTGTACCAGTTAGTTATAAGTGGCTATAATGTAAAAGAATATATGAATAGTTTTCAGTATAATTTCAATTTCGTACAAAACTCGCCACTATGTTTAGCAATGGATGAAAACAATGTTAAATTTTATTAATGTGTATTTAAAAATCAGATAAAAATCAGATACGTATGCCTGTATATTTTAAAAGTTCACTGAATTCATCATAATCTTCAAAGTGACCTTCTAATAAATAGCTATTTAAATTTTATTCGAGAATAAAAAAATAATTACGTATAAATTATGTCTTACAATTCATAAATGCAATAAAGTGTGTGGTTTGTAGACGAATTTATATATTTAATAAACTTGCGTGTTTGCATTTAACTTAACTGCTTAATTCTGACTTCAGACTCTTTTATTTGTGATTCATTGACCAAACGGTCTCGCTGACACAGCGTACGCGTTGAAGCCAAGACGCTCATGTCGTGAAATCTACTTTCCTTCTGTCGTAAAACTTTCCACTGCACTTGTTACTATTATTGAGGAGATTATGCAAAGGTGATTTTGGTTATATTTTATAGCGGTCTCTATACATCATTACCAACGTTCCTAACAGAGAAAGTTTATTTTTAGTTTACGTATTTTGCAGCACATTTTGAGTTATGTCTTATTAGATTTTTTTTAATTTCTGTTTGTACGAGCGTTTCAAAACTAGAACATTAAAAATAAAAATTATTTTATTCTAAATAAAACTAACCAGCTATTTATTTTTTGCATAAATTGAATTTTGAACGTGTGTTATCTCAGACCGTGGTAATCCGACAATTGTAGATGTTATTTTCTTTACAGCGCTAGTATTTGGTGTCTCTATCGAAAGAGCAATAGTGTACCACCTGATCAGCACCCGATAGAAAGGAGATAATTATAATAGCAATGGATGTATGATATCCGTTAATTTGAAGCAGCGTAGTCATTTAGAAACCAAGTAACGAATGAAATGTTAATAATATTATATAGTAGAAAAATCTCTGCAGTGAGTGTATAATCAATACCAAGCCGCAAATGACCTTTTTTACTGGAAACGAGGCATTCCACCTTAGTCCTCAGGCGTGACAATGTAAATGGTAAAATGGTAATGTAAAAATGTAGATGTTTATGGGCCACAGCATCCACCAACCATCAGGTGGACTGTGAGCTCGTTTGTCACCCTTCTGTAAAATAATGGTGGAGTAAAGGTTTATCATCATCATTACAGCCCACTCACAAGTCCGCTGCTAAACATAGGCCCCTCCAATACTCGCTACCTCTTCACTTCCTGCATCACATACCAGGTCGTCACTTCATCTGCGAATTTTTTAAGGATGTGGATTATGAGAAAGCCTATCATTCTGTTAAAATTTGGGCGGTACAACAATCCCTAGAGCGCTGCCAAGTCAACTGAAGTGTTTGTACAGTAGGCTATAATAGATACGAATACAGAACCAGAGTACGAAATAATAAACCTATACAACTGCAGAAAGGTGTTAGACAGGTGGTGACACTATTTCCTCTAAACTCCTAACCGCTGCATTGGTTGTTGTAAGATGTTTTAAAGCTACTGAAATGAAAACAATACGGTATTGACATCAATGATATGGAATAGGTACATCACTCATCGTAATTGTGTTAAGTTTTTTAATAACGGTTATAAACCACATAGTTATTTAATTAGGGTCTTGTATAATGTTGAAGCTACAGTTAAAAATAATTTCGTGCACGTAGTTTGGTCAAACACCAAAATCTAATAAGACTACAGCGGGGCTAATCAAATTGACCTTCTACAATAGTTGTCGCTAATAGAAAACTTTAAAGGTTCATATGTAATACGATAACAACTTATATATTACAATGGGTGTTCCTATAAGTTAATATCGTTAGTATGATAATTTTAAATCGCTTCTTTGGTGTACGTTTCGCCACTTATTTAACCGTACTAACATTATATTTACATCAGCGTCATGCTTGTAAATTTTTATGCTTCTAACGTGTTTACAGCCGTTTTTAAATTTCTTAATGCTTTAAAACGAAATTTATATTTTAGGAATAACCGTTGCATTTTAAAATTTTAAATACAGTTCTTTAAACATATTAAATAGTACATTGTTGTACAAACACCGTATGTAAAATTTGTTTCACTTTACCATGTTCAATGCTTCCTAGTCATAAGTATGATACAAACTTTTTTTATTAAAAGCTTAATGATTATAATATGTTTGAAATGTACGCATATTTATATTAAAAAAAGCAATATTCCTATCTAGAGAGTAAAGCGATTGAATACCGCAGACTAATTATGTCAATAGTTAAGATAACATTTCTTACCCACTACGTGAAAAGCCCTTGTACAACAATGGGTTTTATTTATGAATTCGTAATAATGAAAGAGAGAGAGAGAGAGAGAGAGAGAGAGAGAGAGAGAGAGAGAGAGAGAGAGAGAGAGAGAGAGAGAGATAGAGAGAAATCATAAATTTAGTAGCATGGCATTTTCCCAGGTTAATTTATTTAAAAAAAATAGCTTTTATATAAAAATACAATTGATTGCTACACTTGAAACATTAACAATCAAGTTAAAATTATATCCTAAATTGAAAAATTGTGAATTGTGTAACTTTTTCTTATGTGTGTGTCAATAAAATTATTATTACTAAATATGCGTTCGGAACCGGTAATGCAATAACGTTTCTCGTTAAATCGCTATTGATGAATTTTACTATTGTGATAAATCATTTCAGTCATTTCTCTTGGTCGTTTTTGCTGTTTATAAATGTTTATTGTATAATAAAAATATTATAAATATAATAAATATTTAAAGTATTAAATATATTAAAGGTACTGCCATAGATACCTACATTTCTCCTCGATTAAGAATCAAAATGCAGATGCGTTGTCACCCGTGAGGACTAAGATGGAATACCTCGTTTCCAGTAAAAAGGGTCTCCCGTTCTCTACACTCACATTACTAAACACAGAAGTATTAAGTTGCTATTTTCTGAGAGCGTAGTCCTTCCCTGGCCGAAAGATTCGTGCTACAACTATATCTGCAACATGGTTCTATCACGTAAAAGTAATCGTACAACATACGTTGTAAATACCTATTAAAAACGTTTTTCTGGTTTCAACCAATTACAATGGCTCGTAGGAGTTTCGATATGTATTACTTGTAGTCTTAAAAAGCCCTTTACAAGTCCACTGCCAGATATAGGCCTCCACCAAAGAACGCCATAAAACCCTGACATGAGCCACCAGCGTCTATAGACTTTCTGCATGTCTTACCGGGTGTCGCTTCATCTAGTAAAGGACCATAATACACTTCGCTTAAGGTACGAGTCTGACAATAATCTGTACTGAATGAAAATTATTTTATATATACAATATGAAAAATGTTAATTGTGTATTCTCACGTACTTGTTAGTGTACCCCATTTATATTTAAAGGATTATGAAGTACTGAATTTTAATCTCGACTGAAGCACTTTCCAATAGCTTAAAGTTAAAAAGTTACAGCATATAATATACGTCCCACTTCTGGGCACAGGCCTCTTCTCACTTCTGTGAGGGTTTCAGGGCAAAGAAGTGTCCGCCGCGTTGCCCCAATGCGTTTT